GCTTCCCTCATCGAAGCTGGCCTCCTCAACGCACCTCCGGTACAGAGGAGTGATGTTGAACTGGGAGACATAGCTTTGTAGGTATTGTACGAATTGGTCTTTGGGAACATAGGTGGGAAAATTAGCAGGGAATGGCATGTGGGGAAGAGTACTGATTTGCTTGGGTAAGTGGATGTGGAGACAGTCGTAAGAGTATTTTGTCCATAGAGAAGCGAAACGGTCTTCTCTTTCAAGGAGTATGTAAGGGATTGATTGGATGTTTAGGCAGGCCGCGGTGGCGAGGCCAGAGGGTCCGGCTCCGACAACGATGACCGGAGTTTCTTGCATCTTTTTCTGATGACAAAGAGGAGCAACGATGTAGAGGATAAAATGGTTTTATCACAGACGGACAATTGGGTTGTTTTATAACCACAAAATATTTGGTTTTTTTTAACTTTTCAACAAGAATTTTGTCGGTGAAACGAAAGGCGGGATAAAAAAATTTAGTTTAATACCCAATTTAATCCCTAAATTTTTATTTTTGAATTTAATTTATCCTTTAATTTTAAAAAATACCTAAATCATCCTTAAATTTTATTTTTTTATAACCCAAATGGTCCTTAAGTCGACGGAGCTGCATACTTAGCACGTTAAGTCTCCATCAATTTCCTTCTTTAATTTTCACAAACTTACGTGGAACAAACATGGCATCAATTTCATTCCAGGTCACATTTTCACCGATGTTCCTATAGCTATCCAGCTTACGCCTATTTTACTGTCCCTAGAGAGATGCATCAAACGGTGATCCAGCAACGAAGAAAGTCTAAACAAAGGCCACACTTACTTCCAGACGAGGCCGCTCCTCCCACTGTCGGTGTGTACCTCTAAGCCTCGACTAGACCATGGACCACACGTATGGCCACAATAGGCCAATCGTCCTCGTCGTCGGGTCACTTCCATCCCAATTCTATCATATCCCTTCCGAGTTTTCGACCAAGTCAATATTGCAACCGCGCCCCACCTTATCACACCTCTTCTTTTTCTCCTAGACTCCAACCCCACCTAAAATTCTAGTTTTAGAAATCCGTTCAAATCCATAAATAACCCAAACAAAAAGCAAACCAAGTTTATCTTATTCCACGTGGCAAACCTTTTAGCCAAAGAATTGATGCCACGTGGAAGAAGCCATCCCTATCATCCATCCCTTATTTCCTTATTAAGTAAATAAATATTTTTTTGGGGTTTTTAATAAAAAAAAAAGTTAACAATTACTAACATTAATAGTCTCCATCTGTGTTTCTACTATTTCCTTTGCTGCTGCTTCCTTTCAGATAATTTGTTTCGGTTTTCTCCTGTATATTACTATGTAAATTCCCATTATCTTGTTCTTATTAATTCTCCGTTCATCATTCTGTTTCTTCTTTTTCTTCATCTTCTTTCTTCTCCTCCCTTATATGTCTCTCCACCTTGTTCTTCCATTAAAATGCTGCTAAATTTTATCATACTTATAATTACATTATAATTATGTTAATTTTGGCTTGTATCTTCTCAATCTCTTTTCTTTCTCTCTTTCGTTTTTTCTCTACAATTGATTAAACATGAATTTGAGTTATTGATTAATTTATTTACACTTCTAATTTTTTTAATATTGTTGTTTTGTAGAAAACATTGTTGGGAGATGATAATTGGGTAAACAAATTTTATTTATGTAAATTATAATTTAATTTTAATTATATTTTGATTATTATTATTTGGTTGAAATTATATATAAATAT